TGGCTAAAATTAACCAGTCAGGAAACGACAGATGCTGGCGAGGATGCAGAGAAAGGGGAACCCTCCTACACTGCTGGTGGGAATGCAAGCTGGTGCAACCACTCTGGAAAACAGCATGGAGGTTCCTCAAAAAGTTGAAAACAGAGCTACCCTACGACCCAGCAATTGCACTACTGGGTATTTACCCCAAAGATGCAAACGTAGTGGTCCAAAGGAGCATGTGCACCCGAATGTTTATAGCAGCAATCCAAACTATGGAAAGAACCTAGATGTCCATCAACAGATGAATGGATAAAGATGTAGTGTATATATATATATATACACAATGGAATACTACACAGCCATCAAAAGAAATGAAATCTGGCCATTTGCGATGACGTGGATGGAACTAGAGGGTATTATGCTTAGTGAAATAAGTCAATCGGAGAGAGACAATTATCATATAATCTCCCTGATATGAGGAAGTGGAGATGCATCATGGGGGGGTTTGGGGGGTAGGAAAAGAATAAATGAAACAAGATGGGATCGGGAGGGAAACAAACCAGAAGAGACTCTTCATCTCACAAAACAAACTGAGGGTTGCCGGGGGAAGGGGTGTAGGGAGAGGGTGGTGGGGTTATGGACATTGGGGAGGGTATGTGCTATGGTGAGTGCTGTGAAGTGTGTAAACCTGGCAATTCACAGACCTGAACCCCTAGGGCTAACAATACATTATATGTTTATAAAAAATTTTTAAAAATTATTTTTTAAAAAAAGTATATGCTTCAACCTTGTTTGGTAAAAGACTTTCTGAACAAACTAGCTTGGATCCATCAACAAGGGTCCCACTGCTAGAAAACAACAGCAACATAACAAGCCCACAGGACGCTAAAGTGCAAAATACACACAAAAACATACAAGTCACCCAGACCAATGTCTTCTTTTTCAGTTCTAATCTAGCTCTGTTGATGATCTTGACATAGCCTAACTCAGGGGTCAGTAAACATTTCCTATGAACGGCCAGACCATGCCATAAGCAGTTGAGGGTTTGTATGTCTCTCGCAACTACTCAACCTTCCACTGTAGCATGAAAGCAGCCACAGACACTGTGTACATGAAGGAGCACGCATGGCTGTATTCCAATAAAATCTGAATTATGAACAGTGAAATTTAAATCTCATAGACAGTTGACCTCTGAACAAGGCAGGGGTCAGGGGCGCAGTCCCCCTGCACAGTAGAAAATCCACATCTCTCTTCTGACAACCCCCAGAATTTAACTACAAGTAGTTACTATTGACTGGAAGCCCAGCCGATAACATAAAAGTCAATTAACACAGATTTTATATGTTGTACCTATTATATACTACATTATTAAAATAAGACGGAGAAAAATGTTAAGAAAAACATAAGGAAAATATATTTGCAGTACTGTACTATAGTTATTGAAAAAGATTCTGTGTATTAGTGGATCTGCTCAGTTCAAACCCACGTTGTTCATGGGACAACTATAATTTCTATGCATCACAAAATATTATTTTTCTTTGATTTTTTTTCAACCACTTAAAAGTATAGAAACCATTCTTTTTTTTTTTTTTTTTTAATTCTGGGCCATAGAAAAACAGGTAGCAGGCCAGATTTGGCCCATGGGCTATAGCTTGCTAACCCCTGATCTAGCTCATTAGTTCTTGTTAACTTTGGCTTACGTCAGATTTACTCAGGTAACTATTAAAAATAACAGATGTCCAGGCCCATGCTAGTCTCGATAAAGATCTCTGTGCTTGGAACCCAGGCACTGTCCTTTAGAAAGCCTCCCAGGTTTTCTGATACTAAGCCAGGATGAAGAACCACGGGTCTAGCTCATTCCAAGCAGCTCCCACTGATACTTTCCCATAATCCCATTATTTAAAATGTTGATAATACAACTTCCTTGTGTTCATACTGCATATCCTGAGCCTTTCTTTTTTGAGACCACCTCTGAATCAGTAATCCTGATAACTGGTTTTCACTGCAGGCCATAATCCACAGGTCCTAGCCTAAAAGTAACCTGAAGTCACTCAGCCCCATTCTAGAGGTTGATGGTGCTGTGCCTTCGAACCGCTACCATGTGAAATCCAGTCACTCTAACACCTGGGACCCTTGGGTCTCAGATGGCCACCAAGAAGCCAGGTGACTATTAGCTTGATATCTTTCACTTCTGTCCCGCATTTCTAATCTCACAACTGATAGTCCTTCTGGACCAAACCTTACAGGAGACAAGGGAACCGAAGTTTCCACGACAAGTTACTTCCTCTCCCTGAGCCTCAGTTTCTTCCTGTATCAAGCAGAGATCATCACTTCCAGTTGCAGGATGGCTGTGATGATTCCCATACAGTGACTCACTCAAAACAGGTACTCAGTAAATCGCACTGGCGGCGGCATCACCATCATCACCACCATCACCATCATCACCATCATCATCATCATCACCATCATCATCATCACCATCATCATCATCACCATCATCATCATCACCATCATCATCATCACCATCAACACCATCATCACCATCATCATCATCATCA